CCGGCTCATTGGTCTGCATCATAATAGAGGAGCTTGAAAATAAGGGTCACTGTTTAATGAGGTTGTGATCTGTCAGAGAAGGTGATTGATCACGATAGCCTTGATTTTTAGTATTTTTATCTGTTCTGGAGATCACTTTAGGATGGCAGTGGTGGTATGAGTATTTCTGCATTGGTGGTCATAAAAAGAACAGAAATCTGTTGTTTTGTCCTCATTGTTACTGTCAGGTAAGATGATATATCTTCTCAATCTGATGCTTTAAAAACATGAAAATAGTATCACTAGTTGTGTGGTAGCTATTCCCTTTTTTTCTCCCCTTTTTTGTAGTGGTAATACCATCTGTGCAGCATAGAAACTGAAGCATCTGCAGCTGTAATTCACACAGTCAAAAGCATAGAATGTATTGTACTACTTTAAGGTATTCAACGGTTAAAAATTAGTTTACTATATAGACTTTTATTTTTCTGTCTCTTAGCTGTGCATAACTTCATTCAAGCGCCTAGAGTGTTTTTATTATTTGCATTCAGTTATTCCCCAGCTTTCCCAACTTGTTTTCCATCTTTAATATTGTAACTGTCTCCTTTGTGTTTCTTTTTTTCCCACCTTTCACATTATCTCTTCAAGGATTGAGATTCCTTTGTGCTTTTGTGGTCTCATACGACATTAGAACTACTGAGCCTGCCCTGTGCAACTCTGACTTTTTTTTTAATGATCTCCTTGAGATTTTGTCAATAACTTTGACAAAGCTAGTCCTCTGGACATAAATCTGTTGGGTGCTAGAAGTCCATTTGTTCAACAGTATCTTAAGAAAAATAACAGGTAAAGAGAGACTGTATTTTTAAAGTATAAACAAGAAGGGGAGGGGAGCACAATTAGGGTTGAGCTTTCAGCCCTAATTCTGCATTTCAAGAGTCGTGAATGCTTCATTTGCTAGCATTAACGTTGCACTAACCTAAGGCATTTTTGCATGAGGGTGTGTGTGTTTAATCAACTAAGCATGAAATCTCTTGCTTCTGTTTGTCCCTATTAAACAGCAGCAACAAAAGAAAAAGACAGGAGATGGGTCCAGAACAAAGCAGAAATAATGGAGTATTTCACCCCCAAAAGGAGAGTGAAATGAGAAGTACAATGAGTAAATGAAGACAAACTCAGTGGCTTGAAGCAGTGCAATGTGTTGGAGAGAGTAGTAATTCAGGGACCTTTGCTGCCCAGAGCTTCAATCTGTGATCTCTGAGCAGCGCATATGTCAGAAGTGTTTGGCCACCCCTGCTACAGACACAATATTTAATGGTTTTCCCAGAAGAAACCTCTGTAGCAGTTTAAAGGCCACTGTCTAGGATTGTCAGTTCAAATGCTGATCCACCTAAAACTGGAAAAATCTAGTTTGGATAGAAATCCCTAAGTAGAAGTGGGATTGGCTAACTTCTTCCCTTAGCTCTTGCACGTGATTATGCATACACACACATGCACGTAAAGTAAAAGTAATAGCGGTGCTGAATGTTGTACATTTTTCTGGGGGCTGCAGCAGTTAATTATTCCCAGTTTACTGGGTAAATACACAGTCTTTTTCCAAAACTGGCCAAGTACAGACATTTTTTCAAGATACTGTATTGTTTTATTTTCAGTACTTTCAAATCTGCTCTTTCTTTCATTTTTAAAAAAAATTATTTAACCCTTGACTGTCTCTACCTCTCTGCCCGTCACCCAAAGGCTATAATGAATTTTGAGAGTAATGTTCTCAGAAATCCTGAATTGACACTTTATTTCACATATCTCTCCTTTAAGAATATATCTGTGTACAATGTCTTACCTTGATAAGACAAAGAGCTCCAAAAATGTAGTTGTTGCTGGTAGTAGGGCTGAAATGTATGACCCTCCCCTAAACAGCATTTCAATAACTAAGCCAACTAGCTCTGCTTGACCTTAAATTTGCAGGAATCAAATATTTTTCTGTCCGTTCTCTTCAGTTGTCCCACCAACTGACCCCAGTTGGGTTTTGAGTTTGTTCTATAATACTTAAAAGGCAGCCTTACAAAGCGGGACATGCTTGATGCTGTTTTGATCGGCCACTCATCAAGTAAATCAGATTTGGGAATCAGTGAAAAAGAATTCCAGGTCCATATCTGAGGATAGTCTGAAGACTGGTTAGAGACTATTAATTTAAGTTTCTCTTCTGCCCTTTGGGCTGTCCAAATGGAGCTAAAAGTAGCCTGGCAGTTTTGGAAAAGTGAGACCTAGCTGTGGACTGACCAACTCTTCTCAGTATTTTTTATGTATTTATGTGGTGTTTTGGAATCCACAAATGGCTGCTTTCACATTATTTGCAGTTCAGTATCTCTTATTGCACTGTAAAGCATGATGACATCTTAAGTAAAGCTGTAACTCTAGGCCATGCTGTACAAAATATCTCAGGATGCATTTCCTGTCCATAGTCAAAAGCAGAACATAAGATGTAAATTTATTTCATGCTCTATGACGTCTGAATTTTCTATTCTACCACAAATCTTGTGGAGCTACTAGATGCAGCTGCCAGAGTAGTGAGAATACAGAGGTCTCGTCTCTATAATGGATGTTTAAATAGCCCTGGCTTTGTTAGAGGCCGAGTAACTTTAAGCTGCTGAGGAATGGAAAGGCAGTGATCATACTGTTTGTATAGTGATGTTTTTGATGGAAGAGTTGTTCACAGACGTATCACTTCAAGAGCTTGTTGTGATGTGTGTTGCAGATATGCCTGTTGATGGGGACAAACTGACTCTTTTAAAGACTGTCTGGAAGGAGCCTGACATGCAGCCTCAGAGGTTTGGGGAGCTTGGAAGAATTTTTTTAGTGGCCCTTAGCTTCTATTAAGTGGAAACTTTGTTCTAGGGAGGTTATATTGTGCAACAAACTTAATTTGCCTTTCTCACTTAAGTACCAGAACTTCCAATATTTGCTACGACTTTGTAGAGTGTGTGAGATATTTTGACATCAGTGAATAAAGTTAGAAGGCATATTTACTTTGCTTAGCTATGAACACCAAGTAAGGCCCAACCTTCTTGCAAAGAAAAGATTTTTCGAAGTCAAGTTTTAACAGAAATAACGCTCTTATTTTTAAGAACTGTTGTCCTTGTTCAGCTTAAACTACTACAGTAAATGGTTTTACTCTTAAATTGTTTTATTTCACCTTTTTATAGGATGTTGATGGACTTTCTTAACTTTCTCCCTAAGCTTATCTTTTGTTTCTTTAAACTAGTGTAAAGTGATGTTTCAACAGCATTACATAAAGAAGTAAAACAAGACTTTGAGATGTGGTATTTTTCACAGGAATTGTGCATGATATCCCTTTTGCAGAACTCTTGTCTATGCCTGCTTAAGGATTAGAAGAAATATTTAACAAGACTGAATTATTGCCAAAACCTGTCTTCAGATGGACGAATTATCACCTGCTCAAATTGGTGTATATGCATAGGAGTTCAGTCCCTGACGTGTTTAAAATAACTAGAAGTTGCACATGAAGAATTCTTTCCAGAAGAACCTCAAACATGCTGTTAACACTCATGCAGTTCAGATATAACACCAAAACTAAAAGAATGCAATATAAGTTCTGTAGTCACAGTAACTATCTTTTTTATAATCATGTCCTCTTTTATCGACTTGCTCACGGACCCTGAACCTGCTACTGGCAAGTGATAGTGTCTTACTAACTTCAGTCTTCCTGTTCCTCAAGTAACCCTCAATAAGAGTGGCTAGGCAGTCATGTAGAGAATGGAATTCTTTACTGAGTACTGTTGTTGGCTTATGGTTAAGACAGAAGAAATAACTTAAATGTAATAATAAACAGCACCTTCAGTTTAGGTGGGGAAACTCAGATTTCTACTGCTGGAGATTCTGGAGCTGGCGCTGTGTACGCTTACTTAGAACATGCATGTGTATGGGTGAGAGAGTGGGCAAATATGTTCTCTGTTCCTTGTTATAACAGATTTATTTTTCTTATGTGAAGGTAGCAGATACTGGGTATGTGTGCTATGTTTTTTATATATACATATACATATGTGTATGTATGTATATTTATGTGGGAGAAAATGTATCTTACAGACTTTAGCAGGTGATTAAGCCCCATACTTCAGATGTGAACTTGCTAGCTTTCCCAGAATGGTCATCCTCTAGATTTTCATGTGAAAGTTTTCCGTATAACGTACAAAGAAGGGCCTAATGAACCTTCCTGAGGGCTTAAGGGACCTGCTGGATAGGCTTGGCCTATTTTGGCCGTACTTTTTAAGAAAGAGACGTGACCATAACTCTAAAGAAGGTTTTGTGTAAGTGATTTTTATGCTTTGTGTTATGATTAATTCATGCTTCTCCAGGGAACAGCAAAAGACATAGTGAAATGGTATCTGCATTTTTATGACTAAAGCTATGTCCAGCAAAATACGTTTCTTGAAAAGCTGTACTCTTACCAGCTGATGTTATACGGTAGGGTGAGTGCTTTCCTCCTTCAAAACGTGGGACAAAGCCCAGGAAGGAGGCTCAAATCAGTGGAGCGAAATTCTGCCGCTCTTGCCCGTGGCAGCAGGGAGCGCCTGGCCAGCAGCTGTCGGAAGCTGCTTTGCTGCTCAGACCAGATAGTGCCTTAGACTAGCACAGGGGTTTTCTGCCAGTTCTGCTTCTGGAAGCAAACACATAAAACACCCAGCCACCTGACTGAGTAGAGCATGTGCCTGACACTGTATGTGCGCTATTTATGCTATTCGAGAAATTTAAGTTTCTTTCCTCAATCCAGCTATGAGAGGCTCAGGTAAAAAGTTAACTGCTATATTTATGTTGTCTTATGAAGCTGTTATAAGCTCTGGTTGAGCTGATCTCACTCTGTTAATTGCTGATGGTAACAAAAGTGTAAGTTGGAATGGTATTTTGCTTCTCTCTAGCACCTTCAAATTTATAAACTTGATTTTTAGAATCTTGTTAGAGAAAGATATGCAAAAAAAGTAACTTCTTCCTTTTGTTTTGTTTTTTCCTGGCAGTGTTTTAGAGCACTTTGCTGCAAGGGACCACCACCACCACGACCTGAATATGACTTGGTTTGCATAGGCCTCACTGGCTCTGGCAAGACGAGTCTTCTGTCACAGCTTTGCAGCGAAAGTGCAGAGAATATAGTGTCTACCACAGGTAGGAAAGATACTGCCCTATATTCCATGGTGTGCTGTAACATTGCTTATGGGTAACTTTAAAAACACATAGCAAAGGCAATAGAGAACTTCATCTTTGTATCCTGTTTTTAAAAATACATAACTGATTGTTTTGAAGTTACCTCTACTTACTCGTACAGAATTTGGTAATACAATGGCGAATATTCATGAAACCATACAGTTTGCAATATGTTGAAAGTCAGAACATACATTATGGCGTGATAAAGTAGAACTTGTAGATAAACTGTATCAGTTTACCATGGACATCACAAGATTTCTTTCTTATTTTTCATTTTTAAGCAATCTTGTTGTAGAAGCAAAAAAGAAAAGAGAAAATGTGATATAGAACAGGATGGGCTAGTGAAACTATGTAACTTATATTAGGAGTACTGCTTTGTGGTATATGCTAGCAATCAAAAGAATAAATATAACGTAAATGTTTTTTGGTGTTTATTTCTTTTTTTAGAGCCGCAAAGAGGCTTGTTTACGCAGTAAGGGCAGATTGAAAGCAGAGAGGAAATTTACAAAATGTTTTCGTGGTATTAAGAAGATAAATAAAAACAGACAACCCCAACTAAAGTCTATCTTAAGTGCAAAAAACTTAAGTACACATGCTGATACGGATGAACCGGAATGCCTAATGTTGAAATGGTCCCCCCCCCCCCCCAAAAAAAAAAAAAAAAAATCTAGAGTGAGAAAAAGGAATACCCAACTGCAAAGTTCAGAAAGAGGACAAATTAGGTCACGGAGATGGAAGAAATCTGTTTGTATGGCTACAGTGATTTTAATATGGTTGATTTGCTGAGGGAAAAGATAGTGGGTGTTGTGTGAGTAACTTGTGTGTATAGTTGTATGGCTTTATGTTGTTCTTATGGTTTGTGGGCTTGAGTTTTATATGATTATCCCTTAGCAACCCTAACTATTTTTCAGTGTATCTTTGTTTAAATTATAAGAACATAAAACTATTAAACAAAACAGTAAGTCAACGAAGTAAAGCAGGTACAAGAAAAGAATTAACCCGTTGAGCTCACTGCCTTCATAATTGTATTATTAGGAATTCTAAAGAGATCTGAAACTTCTTTGTGTGGAGAAGATGTCAATGCCAAACTTGGAAGATAACAAGGAAATCATTGAGCAATTCAGTCTTTTTTTTCCTCCTTAGATTTATCTTTAAAGTTCAGCTGAAATTACTGCAAATTAAACTTTAACACTTTAGACCCTGAAAGATTTAGTAACAGCTATATAAATAGCAATGTAGTTCTCAAAAGCAATAATGAAAATATGATTTATTTCCAAATTACATTTCTTATGTGTCTAGGTAGTTGCAACAAAATGCTATCATGTAGTTAGGCAACTTGAGCAATGAAAATGGAGTTTGGAGAAAATTAGGCAGCATCCAGTCAAAATGATACATAATTAAGTCACTCAGTTCATCATAGTAAATCTACCCATCTGTACCAGTACATGTGATATTAAAAGATATAATTAGAAATTCAAGAATCCAATGTGGCAGCTTTTCCACTCAGTTTTCAAACTATAACCTAAATTTTTGCTTTTCTCATCAATGCCACTCAAGTCTATCCCAGTTTTTACTTCTTTCTAGGAATAGTTTAGGATTTATTTTTAAGAAAACAACAAACAAGCTATTGCATAATTATTCCCTTCAGATTTTCTTGTACTTTCCTTTGCAGCATCTATCACTGACCAGGATTGGAGTTAGAGTACTGGAATATCATCTTGTTCTGATATGGGTGAACAAAGCCCTTGTTTCTGTTAAATAACAGCTAATAAACCTGAAATGACGCACTTCAGTGACACACTTTTCAATTATAGGAAAATAATAGTGTTTTATAAGTTTTTCCTTTTAAGATATAAAAGGATAATAGAGGATTTGTAGATACTTTCAATGTGCTTGTAACCATTTTTATACATACTACTTAGGTTGTAAAAAGTTCTCTCTGCTTCTAATATCTATAGACATGCTTAGTGCTCTAATTGTAATCAAAAACTGTGAAGTTAAATATAAGAAAGTGGTAATTAGAATTATACCTTGTCTTTCATGTCTCCTAAAAATTGTAGAAGGATCACTTCATATTATTGGTAATTTGAGATTAAACTTAAGTTCCAGATGCTTTAGAAGATGATTTTTATAAAGATGTACTTAACACTAAATCCCTGCCAAATGGTGAATGGCCTGGATGTAAGTTTTATGCTGAATTTAATATATCCCAGCTATTAAAAAATGTCTTTGCTAATTTCATAGTTCTTATTGATCTTTTCTCTTATAAACGATGCAAAATCTTGGTGAACAAGGTAGACTTTTCTGAATGAACAAGGTAGACTTTTCTGAAGGTATGCAGCTGTTTTCAAATGTCCTTTTAAAAAATAACTTACTAATATTCTTTATTTCTATTTTTAGGTTTTAGCATAAAAGCAGTGCCATTCCAGAATGCCATCTTGAATGTAAAAGAACTTGGAGGTATAACACTTAATCGTTTACTCATTTGTTTACAAAAAGCTATACTTGTTGAACTATTTATTCATTTTGTATATAAAAATGATAAATCAGTGTGGCTTGAATTTATTTAAAATTTGAGTTATGGCACAGCAGTTAAAAGTTGAGAAGACTGGAGCAAATACTGATTAAAAAAGTAAAAAGTTGGAGGAGTGTAAGGCAGATAGTGTTGTATATCTTAGTTATTTCTTGAATTGCAGAGGTTAAGCTATGCAAAAATGCAAACTGAGGCTATAATTGTACTATGGCTCACATGGCAGCTTGGGAAGGCGTTCCCTGAACTTATTGTACATATGAGCTTTTACTTGTGAGCAATTTCTCAGCAAACTATGTGAGTATGGAAGTATTTTTGGCAGAACCAATGTATTTGCTGCACCGCTGAAAATGTTGCAAGGGCAGCAAACTTCCAATGGATTGCATATTAATTGAAATCTATTCTGTTGTTGTATTTATTGGGTTTAGTTTAGGAGGGTTGGATGTAGTTGATTTTTTGTAGTGGTGTGGTGTGTTTTGTTTTGTTAAAATCTGTCTTTACTCAGGTAAGCTATTTGGCTGCCAAATACTGTGGCTCTGTTCCTTTGTGAGATGTGTGCTCACAAAATGAGAAACAGCTACATAAGCAAAAAAATCAGTCGCTACATAAATCTTCTGCCTCTCGAAATACAGACATGCTGGTTAGCTTCTTTTTTCTCTGTTGTGAGGCTATTTGATTTAGCTGGCACCAAACCTTGAGTCTTAAGTGGTCAAGAGGTAACTTTGTTAAAAGAAAAGGGTGAAAACACTCTCCTAGTGGGTGTTCTTGTGGAATCTAGTTTCATCTAGTTTTCTTCTAACTAAAGAACCATGTAGATCATCTTTATATTCTAGAACTTCTGTAGATCTTCATACTCTACATAAATACAGTAGAATGAATCATGAGGATGTTCATTAGATTTTCAGCAAGGCCGAAACTTGTCTTAAGGGCTCTGAGGAAGAAATTAGCTTGGCTCTCAGAGGACACTTCGCTATAAAATGAAGTTTTATCATGGCTGTCTTATCTGAGACTGTTTTTAGAAAGGTTCCAGATAAGCATGCATTAAAAAGAGAGTGTTTCCTCTTTACTGCTCTTGGTCCACGTGCATGCTCTTGTTTGCTCATGTATCCTGTAAAAGAAGCAGAAATTTTTTCTTCAGTAAATGGAGGCCAGCACAGGTACAGTAGTGATTCTGTTTAAGTATGTAACATGCACTTAGGTGATTTTCTGTTTTTTGAAATAGAACAAATCATTTGCAGCCCAGTTTATACATTTTGCTATCTAAATCTCCGCTATTAAATGTATAATGCGGATACATGCATGTAGTTTTGGTATCAACAACTGAGTCTGAGTATTCTAAAGCAGATTCTCTTTAGAGTCTGTTCTTTAGACTCTGAGTTTAGGCTTATCATATAAAGTTTATTTTATGCAGGTATATGTTTCTCAAAACTTTATCTCAGTGAGGAGAGTTTCTATGTGATCAAGGTGAAGCCTGAGCTTTCTGGAGAGTGCCTGGCTTCTCTCTTGTGGCTCTCTGAAAATACAGAAATGAATCTGAGATATTTAATAATCTTTCCATTCTGCTTCACTGCTAAATTTTATTTTGGGGTTTCTGGTTCTGATGTTAAGGAAGAGAGGCCTATGGTTTTGTTCTTATTTTTGGTTTTTGCCTTCAGTTGCTAATGTATTGTTACCTAAGTTCTGTTTTCTCTACTGTGGAGGTCTTGTCCAGGCATTTGTTCTTAGAAACTTGGAGGAAGGTAGAAGAGTATCTCTTTTTTAATAGATGCCATTTAATGAACCATCACTGTTCATTGTTATTCATTATTCAAAAGGTGAAGTTCTGTTTAGTTTTAATTTGTGATACTCTTATTTTAAAACTACTTTTTCGGTTTAGGTAACTGAAATTTGTAAATTTCATATGTCTTTATACAGCAAAGTTTTCATAGCCAATAGTTAAAGAACTTACAGCAAAAGTAATATACTTTTGGGTTCTCACATTCAGCGGCCAAGCAGTTATGTGAAACAGATGCTGACTGCATAGTATTCTTTTCTATCTGGCTGAAGCAGTATCCTTCCTTGAGGTTGAAGATGGTGCTAGTTTTTACCATGCTGGGTACCTTCTGGAGCTGCTAATGAAGCCAGGGCTTTGCTTCTTCATTTCTGTGGGGATTATAAAATTTCATGCAAAGCTTGTAGAAACAGCCTCCTTTCTGTTGTCTGTTTCTGGTCTGATTATCCCTTCATCAATCTTTAGGATTAACTAGGGACATGGAATAAAGTTTACTGTGCTCATTTGCAAAAATTTTGCTCTCAAGTACATGATATCAAAATATTAAAACCAAAAATGAATTCCTATTTCTGATCTCCTCCCCCCTCCCCAGTAACTTATACCCTAGTACTTTTTATTGGATTAATGTTTTTATTTTTTAAGCAAGACTAGCTTCCTACAAGAAATCGTATTTTTAAATCCAACTTCACAAATGTTAAAAGCTTTGTTTAAAAAGGTAGAATACCATCCTGAATCAGTAAGAACGCATGTGTGTGTATCTTCCAAATCAAACACAGACGTGCTTGAATTATTTGAAAGGTAGCTCTTGTTTTATTTACCTATCAAGTTTAACTTCCCATTCTCCAAGTTTCTGTTTTGATATACCAATAATCCCTTCCTCCTCTCAGAGAAATAAAAAGGATACCATTTTCTTCCAAAAACTTAATCCATAAAAGAATATATGTTGATTTAGATTATTCTGATGATGTGTCCTGCCGTATCCCATATGGTTTCAAAATGTATTCTTATCAGTGTAGGTTGAAGTATTTCCATATTATGCAACTTAAATTAGTAATGCTTTAGGAAGAAATTGCAGACTTGATTGTTTCCTGTTACAGTGCAGCCATCTCTGGTGGGAAATAGGGATGAAATTGTGGGTGATGAATATAAGGCAAAGTGGGGAAAGACTGCAAAAATGAGGTAGATGCTAACATTTATTGTTCAAAAGTGTCTAGTAGGTTTTTGCTGCAAGCAACTTGTGATACTGAATGCTGAGGTCTGTTCTCAAGGCAGATAATGCAGGGGCAATGACAAGGTGAAGCTTTTTCTTTGGCTCTAACAAGTGCCTCTTTCAACCTGGAGAGACAATGCCCGAAACTGTCATTTATCGGTATGTTTATTCAATCGTTCATTGTTAAAAAGCTGTAAATGGAGTGCTAAGTAATAGTAGCTGCTGTAATGTGGGTACTTATTCTAGCCTAAATCAAAATTGCAGATCTATTCCAGAGGCTATCAAATAATTTAGTTTTTAAAAAAGGCAGAATAAATTACTTCAGAATTTAAATTTGCCACCTTGTAAACGTGGGCTTGGAAACTATTGTTGAGACAGCTGTTGCTTACTAGTGAGCCTATTCAAATTTAAATGAATGAATTTGTATGTGGATAGCTCTGTTTTTCTTAACCAAGTTTAAAAATATTAACAACATGTTATAGGGTTTAGTAACTTTCGCTGTTTTATATACTCTAATATATTCTCATATGTTTAAGATTTTTTTTTTTAAATCTACCCAACAACCTTTTCCATAAGCAGAGAATCAACATGTTGTCTAATCATCTTTTAAATTTCTTTTAAGACAAAATATGTTAACTGCTTAGGAAGAACAGAGTGGTTATGATCAGGTATACTCAAATTTCCATTCAGCTGAGCATTCCCAGGAAAAGAGAGAAGAAAACTGTCCTACCCACTACTGTTTATCCTTCAACGTCATGACCAGAGTAATAAATCCACACTCTTAGACCATCTATATAAATTGTCTAGATGAGAACTTCAGGGCAAATAACTTTAAGTAGGACTCGTTAAATACGGCATGTGTATTTTGCCTTAATCTGGAAGTAAACAACAAGAGACGAAAGAGTAGGAGAAGAATCATACTGTCATGCAAGCCAAATTGAATGGAAAATATGAACCCCTGGAGAAGACGTCCACAGACGTCAGGCAGTATCTGCCTTCTGTAAAAATGAAGAAGGAGGAAGAAAATTATCTTGGCCTATTAATTAGAAGTTAATGTTTAAGTTGTTTATGGGAAAACCATTCCTTTTCCTTGCTGTATGAGGGAAGTAGCGAACATCCTTCCGACATCATAGCCTGGCAGAGAAGCTAGCATCTCATCTGTTTAGTCATCAGAAAACTGATCCCACACGTAAATACCAGCGTAAGTCATCCTTACAGGGACATACTAAAACAAAGCAATAAAATCTCCGAACTGCATTCATCTAAAAGGCAGTTGACACCTCTACAAAATCTGGTCATGGAGTGCATGTAATGCCATCTGAGACATATCTGCATCTAACAGCTTACAGAGCATCTTAACAGATGAAATTTTTAGATGACCCTGATGAGCTATACAAGCTATGAGTTGCACAGAGACATTCAGCTTCCAAAAGTATTAGACAGATCTGTTTGCTATCAGTCATACTCAGCATTCTGTTCAAATGGTGTCTAAGCCCTGGCTCTTTCACATGGTTTCCTCATCTCATAGATAAGAGGGATCACTTGTGCCTGTTTACTGATCATATGAGCTTGAGTGTTGTGGAAATTCAAATATGTGTTTAGTAATAGTGATCTTTACGCTGTTCTTTGGAAACATTCTTCTTTTTCCATCGTTAGTCTTTTACTGTGTGACAACCCATTGCATATCCGATGCAGAACAAATAGGTGCCACGCGAACAACTCGTGTCAAAGCACAAGTTGCAATAGGGTAAGCAAAAAAAGATTGGTGTGGTATGTCACCTACTGCAACCTATTGAAGTTTCAGAGTTGAGGCTTTGAAAATGTTAAGGCAAACTGCATGGCAATTATATTCTTATCTTCCTTTTAAAATAATCTGTAAGTATCTCCTGAATGGGATAGGAGATCCTTGTTTTAAATTGCATGTTTCTTTTCTTGCAGTAGATGATCAA